TCACCGCTGGAGTATGTCCGGTGGGAAGGGACACAGCCTTCCTCTGACTGGGAATACACACACCAATCCCTGCATGCACATCTCCGCCCTGCTCTTCTCCAACCTCTCACAGGTGCCAGACCCTTTTTCTGCCTTGTTCACTGCCTGCACATCCAAGTGACACCGAACAGAGGCACTTACCTGCTGCTTGCCCCATGGGAACTGAAAGGACAGTGGGACAAAGCCCTTAGGACAGGGCAGAGTTGGTCCTTCTTCCCCCACAAGGTGAGGAGGACAGCTCCTCTCCTTCTCCTCCCTCAGCATGCACCGTGGCTCCTGGCATCACCCAGGGCCCCTCAGGGCTTGGCCACGGTGGGTTTCGGGCACCAGCTCTCACGGTCCCCTTGGTGAGGACCACAGCAGCGACAAGGCTTATTCCAGGGATCTGGCATAGAAGGAAGGCAGATGCCCAGTGGTGGGCATCTTCTGAGGTGGTCTGGGAATGCCGGCTGGCAAGGGATGAAGACGCTGCAGACCCGCAGAGCTCCCAGGCAGGAGCATCCCTGCCCCTTCACCTAGGGAGGGACCTGCCACCTCAGGGGGTTTGCTGTCCCAGGGGTGGTTCTCTTGTTCTGCCCAAGCTGGGGGCACCCATCCAGGCTTTGGATCCCCAGGGGTCCCTTCAGGCTGCAGCCCTGAACACTGCCAGCGGCACTGGGGGCTGCAGCCCGCCGGGGTCCCCGCTGGGACGGGGGGGGCACGGAGCGCAGCCTTACCTTGGAGGAGCCGCTACGGGGAAGGGATACGGGACCCAGCTTGGGACGCCCCGGTCCCGGGAGAGCTGCGGTGGCGGAGGCGGGGGATGCGGGGATGAGGTGACACGGACGGGTGGGCGGATGGATGGATGGTTTGGGGGCTGTAGGTTTCCCCGCTCTCAGGTGCGGAGACAATAGCCAGGGCTCCTGTTGCAGCTGCAGACTGTCTCTTTAAACCCCTCATCAGCCCACAGGTGGCCCTGTCACCACCGTGGTCATCCATGACGTCATCGGGAGGGAGGGAAGGGGAGGAGGAGGAGGAGGAGGGGGGAGAAACGCGATCCCCCTCCACAGCAAAAGTCCCCGAGCGCCCATGGCAACAGATTGCAAATGTCACTGCGCATCAGCCGGGAGGAGACTGCCGGGCTGCCCCCGCGGGGCTGCCACGCCACGGGTGGCACGGGGGACACGGGGCTGGCACCGGCACGGATGGCACGGGGTGGGCAGAGCCGCCACCCTGTGACGGGGGTGTTGTAGGGGACAGGGCTGTCACCCCGGGTGGTGGATGGGTGGGGACAGGGCTGTCACCCGCACAGGGACCTGGCGGTGGGCAGCTCCAGCTCTCGGCACGGGCTGTGGAGCCCTCGGGGGTCTCCCCAGCCCCGACACTGCAGCACAGGGGTAGGTGTTGCTGTGCTGGTCATGGCTTGTCCCCTGTGATCCCGATCCCTGATCCCCAGCAGTGACACCCACCCACAACCATCCCGCGGGCACCCCGAGAGGAGCAGGCACCCCAGGGAGCCCCATCTCCCCCCTCTGCTCCTGCCGGTGCTCTGCCCCTACAATGGGCTCTTTTGCAAAAGCCAGGAAAAATTTGGAGGGTGTTTAAAGCAGGTTTGACTTCAAGCAGAGGCAACTGGTGTTGTGGAACAAGAAAAGGGGGCCCAGCCCTGAACCCATGGACGCCAGACTCATGGACCACATCCCAGTGGTGGTGATTCCATTAACAGCCTCTAAAATTTGTCCAGTTCCACTCCAAAATGAGCCTCTGATACCAGTTAAAACCAGAGCAAGGGATGTTTTCGTGACAAAGAAAGATTTCCTTAGAGCCGTGAAGGTCCACCAGTGCTGCATCCTGCAAACTTGGCTTTGATGGAGCCTCATCCCAGTGAGACCTGCCCAGCGTGGGGAGGGGGGGGCAAGTCCTGGCTCTGCTGGATAGGAACTGTTCCCCCCTCTATGAAAATGTGTGAATATGAACATGAATCGCCACACAATGGGAGCCCCAAATTCTGCAAATGTGAATAAAGTCACTCCTCAGGTGTGGGGAAGAATCAAATATTTAATTACATCCTTGTTTTTTGGAGAGATGAGATACACCTAAGGACTCCTTCTGTTTCCTTTGGTCCTTTCTCACACCAACAAGAGTTTTTCCCCGGCTGGTTTCTGTTATGATCTTTAGGATGCTTCACTCTAAAAAGGACCCCATGGAGGCAGCCAGTTCCCACAGAACAGCCTCACTAATCCCTGCATACCCTGGGGTTTGGGGAGCACCTCAGGGCTGCAGCATTCCTTCCCCACACCAGGATCCTGTGCAAACTTCACCATCTTATTTTAAATATTAAGAAAAAAAATAATAGGGGTAATTTTCTTTTCCCCTGCCCTCAGCTCGATGAAGTCAGCAGCCACCAAGCCCAGTGGCCGTGAGAGGGGGTTGGCTCAGCACCTAGAGGGTTTTCTTCCTCCAAAGCCCCCCTGTGAGGAGATGGTCCAAATTTTCCCACAGGGATTTCATGCTGGGGGTTGTATCTGGCTGGGGGCAGCCAGGGTGGGAGTACCCCCCCACCCCTGCGACCTCCCCAGCACTGTTTTCCTCACACGCCCTCTCCAATCCTGGGAAAGCAGCCACAGGATCCAGGGATGGGAAACTCTTGAGAAACGGCCAAAACAACAACAGCAGAAGGGTCCTTCCTTCAGGAACAGGAAAAAAAAACATCCAAAGCAGACCAAATGAGCTGCATTATATTATTTTCTCTTTTTAAAAAAATGTTAACCCATCTGTTGGCTCTGGAGAAATCAGCTGGAGGTGGATGTGGCGCTGGCAGGGCGCTGCTGGGGCTGGTGATGCCACAAAGGCACGGAGCATCTCTTTCCTTGGCACACTGCTGAAGGGACTTCCACCAAAAGCAGCCCAGTGACATCCAAAGCCACGGACCCACAGTGGCCCTGCGAGGCTGGAGGAGCCCTGCAGCCCCCAGCAACACGAGTAGCCAGTGACCCTCAGTCCCCCAGCAGCACCCACACCAGCCCCAGTGTCAGAGCTCTGGGAGTCAGGCTGGGGCTCGCCCCGTTCCTCTGGCCAGGGACACGCAGAGGGACACCCCACCTGTGTCCCAGCCCATGAGGATGGGGACAGCCGTGTCACCCCCATCGCTGGACCCCACAGGGCAGCGCAAAATGCTGTGGGAGGTGGGAAATGTCCCAGGAATCCTGAGCCCTCAGCCAGCCCCTGGCTGGGGGTCTGGCACTGTGACCCCACATCTCCCACCTGCCCCCAGGCTGAGATAAACCAGGACTAACTTTGTCCCCAGCCTAGTGCCTGCGCTGAGATTTATTGCACAAGATTCAGATCCCTGCCACTGCCCAGCGAGGTTCTTCCGATGGGGCTGAGCGGTGAGCAGGTTGTGGGATGAAGTTCTCAGCCCTGGCAGCACCAATTGCTGCTGCATTAGCGGCTCTTTTGTCCGGCGAGGGGCTGAGTGAGGAGCTGCCTGTCGCTGTGCCGCTTGTTTTCCTGCCAGCTGCTGCGTGGTTGGATGTTCCCCGGTATTTGGCTTGATCCTATTAAGGTGGATCTCAATTAATTAGGCAGGAGGCAGGGAGACAAAGAGGGACGCCGGGGCCATTCGTTTTATTCTTGTCATCAGGCAGGGCAGGGACGGGATGAGGCTGCTGGGCACCAAAACGCGAGAGGGGAATGGGACACGCAGCTGGGGCGGCAGTGGGGTCACCCCGAGGGTCTCCCAGCACCAGGGATGCCAGGCAGGCTGACATCCCCCATCCCCACAGGAAGGTGGCTGGACCCAGGTCTTATCCCCTGGGGCAGTGGGGTCCTGCTCTGTCCCACTGCAGGTGAGACCCCACAGCACCCCAAGAAACACAAAGAAGTGCACCCCAAAAGCCCCCCCCCGGCATTCCTCCTTCCCCTTCCCTGCCTGCCGGAGAGGCGCCCCCAGAGCTGTGCTGCCTAAAGCCAAGGCGAGCAAAAGCTTTCACACCCTTGCAAAGGCTGAAGGGTCACCCCAACCTCTGCTGCCCAATGCTGGAGGGAGGTGTGGGGTCCCCGTGCTGGGATTCGGGGTACAGGGGCCGTGCCAGACCCTCCCTGGGGATGGAGGAACCTGGGGTGCCCCGGGCATGGAGGGGTTCAGGGGCGTTCGGGGGCACGGAGGGGGTGAAGTTCCTGTAGGGGACTTGGGGATGGTTGGATGGGGTTTGCAGAGATGGGATGAGGTGGCTGGAGGGGAGGAGGGTGCGGGATGGGTCTAGGGTGGGTCCGGGATGGCAGCAGAGGTGCAGGGTGGGTGCAGGATGGGTGAAAGCAGTGCTGGAGGTGCAGGGGGATGCAGGATGGGTGCTGGGGTGCAGCGGGGTCAGGATGGGTGTAGGCTGTTTTGGGGTGGTTTCAGGCTGATGTAGGGTGTGTGCAGGCTGTTTTAAGGTCGGTTTCTGGGTGTTTTAGGGTGGTTTCAGGTGTGTGCAGGCTGTTTTAGGGTCGGTTTCAGGGTGTGTGCAGGCTGTTTTAGGGTCGGTTTCTGGGTGTTTTAGGGTGGTTTCAGGGTGTGTGCAGACTGGTTTAGGGTCCGTTTCAGGGTGTTTTAGGGCGGTTTCAGGGTGTGTGGAGGCTGTTTTAGGACGGTTTCTGGGTGTTTAAGGGCGGTTTCTGGGTGTTTTAGGGCTGTTTTAGGGTCGGTTTCTGGGTGTTTTAGGGTGGTTTCAGGGTGTGTGCAGGCTGTTTTAGGGTCGATTTCTGGGTGTTTTAGGGCTGGTTTAGGGTCGGTTTCTGGGTGTTTTAGGGCGGTTTCTGGGTGTTTTAGGGCGGTTTCTGGGTGTTTTAGGGCTGTTTTAGGGTCGGTTTCTCGGCTCGGAACGGGCGCGGTGGGGCCCGGTGCACGGGTCCGCCCCGCCGCCAGGGGGCGCGCCAGGCTCTCGCGGCACTCTGGCCCGGCGGCCCCATCTCGCTGGTCCGCAGGCCGGAAGCGGAAGTGGTGGCGCCCTCCCGCCGCTGTGCCGTGGCGGAAAGATGGCGGCGGCCATGGCCTGAGCGGGACCCGGCGCTGCCCCAGCGGTGAGCGCGGCCGCGACCTCTCCCCGGTCTTCAACCGGCGCGGTGGCACTCGGTCCACCGTGTCCCTTTAGCCCTCGGGCCAGCGGGAGATCCCCGGTACCTTTGGCGGGCCAGCCCTCGGCTCCCCCCGGGCTTCCCTGGATCTCAGTCCCTCCTCATCCCGGGGGACCGGAGCTCCTCGCTTCCCTCTCGGCAGGTGGGCCTGAACACACCGCGGGTGATCCCTCCTGTGTCCCCTTGCCCCCAGCTCCCTCCGTTCTTTCCAGGCTGTACCCTGTGCCTGCTGCTTGTCACGTCTGCATTTACTGCTGGCTACTCGGGCTCCCTTCCCGCTGTTTGGGAGCTCCCGTTATTCCCTGTGCCTACACCCTTCCCTGGCTCCCTCCTTCCCTTCCTGGTTCTCCGCTGTGTCTCTCTGTTCAGCAGGCAGGACTGCTCTTGTTTTCCTGGTGCCTCCCATGAGATCCTTCTCTCAGTCCCTCCCCCTGCTCCCCGTGTCCTCCCGTGTTATTCCCTCTGTACCTTGTAGCCGACCCCCTCGCTGCTCTGGCTCCACGTGAGCAGTACCCTGTGCCCTGGGTCCCACGCCGGTGCCAGGGCAGGTGTGCTGTCCCCGCAGGATGAAGATGAAGTAGAGCTCTGGCCATGGACCATGAGGCCCCCACCATCAGGCCCCGGCGCATCCAGAACCAGAACGTCATCCACCGCCTGGAGCGCCGCCGGATCAGCTCGGGCAAGGCCGGCACCCACTGGCACCAGGTCCGCGTCTTCCACCAGAACGTCTTCCCCAACTTCACCGTGGTCAACGTGGAGAAGCCGCCCTGCTTCCTGCGCAAGTTCTCCCCCGACGGCCGCTACTTCATCGCCTTCTCCTCCGACCAGACCTCGCTGGAGATCTACGAGTACCAGGGCTGCCAGGCGGCCGAGGACCTGCTGCAGGGCTACGAGGGGGAGATCCTGGCCAACGGCAACGACCAGAGGTCCGTCAACATCCGGGGGCGGCTCTTCGAGCGCTTCTTCGTGCTGCTGCACATCACCAACGTGGCCTCCAACGGGGAGCACCTGAACCGCGAGTGCAGCCTGTTCACGGACGACTGCCGCTACGTGATCGTGGGCTCGGCCGCCTACCTGCCCGAGGAGCCGCACCCGCCCTTCTTCGAGGTGTACCGCAACAGCGAGTCCGTCACCCCCAACCCCCGCTCCCCGCTGGAGGACTACTCCCTGCACATCATCGACCTGCACACGGGCCGGCTCTGCGACACGCGCACCTTCAAGTGTGACAAAGTCATCCTGTCCCACAACCAGGGGCTGTACCTGTACAAGAACATCCTGGCCATTCTCTCCGTGCAGCAGCAGACCATTCACGTCTTTCAGGTGACGCCCGAGGGGACGTTCATCGACGTGAGGACCATCGGCCGCTTCTGCTACGAGGACGATCTCCTGACCCTGTCCGCCGTGTACCCCGAGGTGCAGCGGGACACGCAGACGGGAATGGCCAACCCTTACAAGGAGCCCTTCATCAACTCCCTGAAGCACAGGCTGCTGGTGTACCTGTGGAGGAGGGCCGAGCAGGACGGAAGCGCCATCGCAAAAAGAAGGTTCTTCCAGTACTTTGACCAGCTGAGGCAGCTCCGCATGTGGAAGATGCAGCTGTTGGATGAGAACCATCTGTTTATCAAATACACAAGTGAGGACGTGGTCACGCTGCGGGTGACAGATCCTTCCCAGGTATAGAGTCACAGAATGGTTTGGGTCGGAAGGGGCCTTGAACATCATTGAATTCCAGCTGCCCTGTTAGGGGTCCACTAGAGCAGGTGACTCAGGTACTGCCTCCCTCTTCAGGCTGCTCGTTACTTTGGGACAAGTGCTCGAGCATTACAATGCTGTCAGCTGTTCCTTAAGGAGCCCATAAAGGTTATTTAGGATCCCTAGTACCTGAGTCTTTTTCAATGCCTCTGATATTGAATAACTTCTGTATCTTTTTTCTCAATTTCATTGCTATCTTCCTTCTCACCTGCAAAATGAGAAAGATCTGATTGTTAGCAAGCCCCTTTCTCCAAGGATTGTTCCCCATGCTCATAGATTCTGTTCAATCCTTTTTCCCTCCCCAAATCCCCAACTGAATTTAATTTTAGCTGATATTTTATATAGTCTGTTTAAATTGTAGAGGTAGTCTCTCCCTTTCCTCATATATCTTCAAGCATGTTTTTCAAATATAATAGTCTTCATTTTCCCTGGTACAATTACCATTTCTGTTCTGCCTACGTACTCAGTCTTTCAAGCTTCAGTAAGAGGTAGTATTTATGATCTCTCCAAATTGGAATAGCAGCTTTTAGATCGGGCTAATGGGCCAATTGCTCCTCTTTTCAATTTAGTACTAAAGAAGTGGAATTAGAGCAAATGTAGCTCAGTCAGTGCTGGGTCCCTCCAGACATGTTTCACAACCCTGCATGTTGATCATCTCTTTTTACTGCTTTTAGAGTGGTTGGTCACGTTTTGAGCCCTGTGAAATGAAGAGGTTTTTTTAGTTAATTTTTATTCCTTTAATCATCTTGGTTTTATTCTGTTGAAAGCATTTAGCAAGAATTTTTAATAAATATCCAATGCAGCATGTAGGTCTGATTGTTCCCCAGAGGTTTGTTTTCTCACATCACTTCTCTTCCCCACATCTTTGCCAGAACTTAGGTCCTAGAAGAAATAAACAGTAGCTCTTTGTGTGTTGCCTTTGTCCAGTTCTTCCTGGGAGAGTACTCTGTTTTGTTTTGTTTTATTTTCCTCTTCTGTGGTGTTTGTTTGGGGGAGTTGCTTTGGGAGGAAATAGGTTAGGCTTTATCTAATCCATTTTGCCCATTGGTGTAAAGCTGAATGTCTGTCTCAGAACTAGGAAGGCTCTGTGGAAATGGCCTGCAGGGTTCTGCTCGTTGCTGGTGTCTGGAATGAGCTCCTGGCCCTGATGTAAATGTTTGTGGCTGGCTCAGCTCTGCACTCTGCTGTGGTTAGTAGGGTGTAGTGCCTGGTTTGCTGCAGGGAGCTCTCGACTCTTTTCACCCCAGGGTTACTTTAAGATGCAGTTTGTGGTTTGTTTGCAGTGTGCCTCAGGCACTGGGTTTTGTGCTGGGGGAAAAGTCTCATTTCTCAGTTCCTCCAGGAGATAATTCCAGCTGTGGAGGAGTCTCCACAGACCTGTCTGAAGGTAGGCGTTGTGTTAGGGCTTCCTGAATAAAACTTGGCTCAAAAAATGACTACAGCTCCCATTTTTCTTCAGTCTGTCAGACAAGGAACACGAAGTTTTATCCAGTTTCAGGCTCCTTTCTCCCCTCTGGCTTCTCTGCCAAGAAGATTGAGGAGTTGCTGTTCATGGTTTTGAGTTGTGTGGTTTTTGTCTGGGTCTGCACTGTATCCTTTGAGATTTTTAAGAGTGTGCTCTGCATAGGTAGCTTGGGGGGTTGTTGCTGTTGTAGGCTTGTGTTGATAGGCTCGACAGCATTGCTGTGTGATTTTTGTGCCACTCAGCTGCTGCCTCACATGCTCAGATGATGTTTTGGTGGTGTTACAGGTGCTGCAAAAGCAGTGAGGGTTTCCCTGCTCAGGGACGTCCTGTAGATGTGTCTCTGTGTTAACCTGGCAAAGGAAATTTTTTTATTTAAAGTTGGAGGATACTTCCTGCAGTCTTCAGTGATTTAAATAGTTTTTTCTTCTGCTATCTTCTCTTATTTTCTCTCTGCTCCCACCCTTTATTTCAGAAGGGCTTCCCTTTCCTCAGGCAGTAGTCTAGTGAGTAACCTCATCTTGTGTGTTTCGTTTGGACATGTAGGGGCTGGACTGTATTATCATAGTTTATTTTGGGTCTGTAAAACAAACAAACCTTGTGATATTTGCAGGTGGGTGGGTGGACAGAGGGCCTGCCACCATCCGTAAGCATCGTTTGGGAGCGGGAGGTGAAGCATTTAGGAATTGCCTCTATTGACAGAAGATTTAATCAGATACCATGGGAATTAGTTCCCTTTGAAGTGGGGACAAGTTCTTACTTTGGGGTGCCAGCACTCCTGTCTCTAATGAAAACTACTTTTAATGACCAAGAATTAAATATGCCCTTTCCCAATGGGATGGGAATGTCATTTCCCTTTGATTTAGCTGCGCTGACACAATGTCACTTTTTTTCCCAATTTCTTGCTCATTCGTGCCAGGATTCATTGCCATTGCCAATCCACAGCATGGTACCAGGGCCATTTTGCACAAGAATGTCAGCATTAAGGAGTCATTAATGTCTTTCAGATTTTCATTTCTGTGTTGGCAGGGTACCTGGAGGGCATAGCTTTTTGTGGGCAGTGATGTAGTGCACAGTACATTAAAAAGGCTCATCTCTGTGTGATGCAGATATTAAGAAGAGGAAGAAAATAAATCTATGCAGAGGTAAAAATAATTTAAGGTCAGCTACCATTGGATTTGAATTAATTTTTTCAGCAGGAATGAAAATTAAATTTGGCACTTGAGTAAGTGTTATGGGCTTGGTGGAGGACAGAGAAGAAGAGAAAATAGTACGGTTGCATCTAGTTCAAGTTGAAAAATTGGAAGGCCATTAAGTTTTCTTAAATAATCACAGCTGAGAGGTGGATAATTGGGTATGTGTTGAGGCATTCCAATAGGAGAGTGGATTAGTGTGAGGACGTAGGATTCTCCTGTGCTGTGGGGAAATTTGGATGAGGTCTGTGGTGTGATGTGGGGAGAAGGAAGGGACAGCTTCCCCACCTGTGCTCTCCAGGGTAACTGCTGCCTCTCTCCCCAGCCCTCCTTCTTCGTCGTGTACAACATGGTGACCACGGAGGTCATTGCCGTGTTTGAGAACACATCTGATGAGCTGCTGGAGCTGTTTGAGAACTTCTGTGACCTCTTCAGGAACGCCACCCTGCACAGTGAGGCTGTCCAGTTCCCCTGCTCAGCTTCCAGCAACAACTTTGCGAGGCAGATCCAGCGCCGGTGAGCCATTCGGAGCATGCTTTATTCCGTATAGACACACGCTCACCCCCGTCTGCTGAAGGCCAGTATCAAATACCAACCCTGAGAAAACCAGTTCCTTTGGTCCCCTTTGCCAGGTGGTGCAAGGGTCAGGACTATACATGGTTCATCTTGCAGCCTGATGTATCTGATTTTATATTCTGCAGCATTTACCTTGTTAGAGGAAGGAACAAAGCAGTTGCAATGTGCTGCTTAGAAGAAAGGAAAGGAATTTTGAGGGAGAGATCTTTCCATCTCTCCTTGAGCAGTAACTCTTTTGGGGGTTATTAAAGTATTACTGCCCAGTAACTTTGGTCCCTGAAGATAGGATTTGTCAAGATGCTGGCATGATCCAGTTGAGTGTAATTTGCCAAGTGACATTCTCTGAATTTACTGTGTGCCAAACTCTGTTCTGCAGCATTTCCTCAACATCAGTCACCAGCTCGTGGTTCTCATCACTGTAGTAGGAGAAAGGAAACTCATCTGCTTAGATCTGTTGTGAAAGCTGAACAAAATACCAAAATAACCTGTGTTTCTAGAATATGCTTTAACAGTCAGATGTGGTTTTAATGAGGCAGAGTGTGTTATTTCTCTAGGAAAATTTTGTTGTGACTCAGGATGTTTTGTTCTTCCAGTGACTTGTTTCTCATCATTCAAAGTACTTGCCATCCACTTACGGGCATCAAGCTTCTGTTGACTTTAAGCTGATGTCACATAAGTCTGACGAAATTGACTATGTCTGTAACTTTCTAGAGCAGCCTGTCAGGAAATCCATAATGCTTAATGGGAGAGAGAATGAGAGAACTCGCTGAAGACTCATGAAGAACAACTTCTGCCTTTTGTTGAAGTAGCGAGGAGAGTCTTTTCCTCCTCTTGCTACAAGGACCTGTAACAGGAATGTTGTAACTTTCACAGCAAAGCCAGGGTGAGCTGGCTTCTGGCTGAGTGTTTACCCTCCTTATTGCCCCTGCAGCTGATCTGACTGTTCTTGCACAGTCAGTCAGTCTTGCACATGTAAAATTTCAAATGTTACTTAGAAAGAGAAATCCAGACTGTGTTAATCTCTCCACAAGGAAGAACTTTCAGCTCACTGTAGTTTCTGGAGAGCTTTATGCTTCTCATCAAGGTTCTTCTTAATCTAAAGTTTCTCCCTTTATGCATTTAAAACAATGGGTGGAGAGAGGAGGATTGTCAAGTTAACGTTAAGGGCTCAACTGTTACTGTGAAACCCCCCTGGCTTTTGCTCATGCTGTTTCCAGGCTTTGTGGTAAAACTTGGCTTGATTGATAAGCTGCTAATCCATCTCTCTCTGTTTTGATCCTGTTCATTTCCTGTACTGCAGAGCAGCTGGGTCCAGATGTTGTGGGTAGGGACATTCTTCTCCTTCTGTCACTCTGACATTCTGAGTGAGCCAGTAATGATAAGGGAGGATGAAAAGGTTAGCAGAACTTGTTGATGTTTGAATCACTGTGATGCATCTTTGGAAATGAGCTGTTTTAGTTCTTACACTGCAGCTGTTTTCTTTCCCCATTAGTTTTCCTGCTTAGTTGATTTCAGATGTGCTGTTCACCCGTGGCCTTTGTGAACAAAAGGTGTCTCTTGGTTTGCTGCAGGTTCAAGGACACGATTGTGAACGCCAAGTACGGAGGGCACACGGAGGCCGTGCGGCGGCTGCTGGGGCAGCTCCCCATCAGCGCCCAGTCCTACAGCGGCAGCCCCTACCTCGACCTGTCCCTTTTCAGCTACGATGACAAGTGGGTGTCAGTCATGGAGCGGCCCAAGACCTGTGGTGATCACCCCATAAGGTATGGGGAGCTGTATGAGTGCAAGGAGTCCCTGTAAATCACCTCTGCCATGTGGCATCAAATGTGCAGAATAGGGAGTAGAGGGAAGCCTTTATCTTAGGAAATCCTTTCACCAGGGGATTTATTTCAGCAGTCCCACAAAACTTGGCCTCTCTGCTTTACAATAATGTGGATGTGTGGGAGGGCTCTTCATGTTTCCTTGCTGAGTTGCTCTGCTCTGGGGAAGGTTTGGGTGGTGAAGTCTCAGCCTTTTCCATATGAATGGTCTTGTTCCTCCTCCTCTTCTTGCAGTGCTGCCGTTGTGTTTGGGTTGCAGTGTGATACAGCTCTGATGTCTGCTTTCCTATGCTGGAAGGATCCTCTCTGAGCATGTGGGTTTAGTTGGCAAGGATTGTCTGGTTTGTCCTGTGAATAAAATAGTATCTGGGCTAGGTGTTACTCAGAAAGCTTGTGCTATTGATTGAGCTGTTTTCAGACTTCCCTTGTTTACTGTTCTCACCCTGGGAGCTGTACTCCTTGTTGTACTCCCTTCTCTCTGTGATCTGTAGGAAATTTCTGTCTGTAGTAGGAATTTTAGCCAAGTGTCAGGGCCATTCTGTGCCTCTTCTGTCTGAGCCTACAATGCTGGCAGAGGGAGTAAGTCTGAGCTTGAGAATAAGGAGGTTTGCAATGCTTCTTAAAGAAACATCAGGAGTATTTATTTCTTTTTGTTGGCTGCAGCCATGGCTGCAAGAGGTAGTGGTTAAAAATCCAACATCTCCAGCTTGACAGGCTCAAAGAGCCCGAGTTATCCAGGCAGAATAGTCTTTCTGCTCCTAGTACTGCAGAAGCAAACCTATGCTCTGAAAACAAAGAGAGCCTTCAGTGCCTGAGTGCTTTGTTTAGTGACTGCACACATGTTGGGGGCTCAGGCAGCCTAGGGAGATCATTCTGGACCGCTTCCCTACTTTATTTTCATCAATGCATTTTCAAAAAGTGGTTTCATATCTCCCCTGGCTCTGACTCAGGTGGCGGGGAACTTCTGATTATTCCTGCGCTCTCAATTCCCAAATTATGTATATTTAATTGATTCTTCTGCCTGTATGATTTGGTTTGATCTCCAGCTTCCATGTTATCTGCAAAGAAAGCCTGCCCTTTTCCCCCTTGTCATGCTTGACGTTGGGAAAACTTGCAGGGTGGCAGTTGTCTGCCAGCGCCAACCTGCGCCCGGCTCCCGCGGACAAAAGGCAGCAGAACCGCAGTCATGTGCTGCGGTGGAGTCTTTGTAGTAAACAAAGCCAAGTGCCACCTTCCCTCCCTCCCCTGAGCAAACCAGCGTTTCAGAGCCAGAGCTTTTAAAGCTCAAAGCTGTGCAGAGTCAATTAGGACTTGAATAGAGCTTCGGAGCAGTGGGGCTCCTGGTTTTTGGAAAGTAAGCAGAAGATGAGGCGCTAACCTTAACCATTCAATAGCTGAAATAGTGCTGCTGTGGTTCTCACATGCAAAACAAAGGGATTAATAAAATAATGCCAGCTGCCTGTTGGGGTTAGAGGGCTTGGAAATGAGGGACCACAGGATTTGTAATATAAGTCCTGTAATTGTCTGGAATGGAAAACCCTTCGGTAGCTAAGGTTGTTATAATCTGTGTGCAGTTTTCTGGCATGATGTGAGAGCTAGGAAGGTTTCCAGACCTTTTCCACATCAATTCAATATTTCTGTGCACTGTGTTCTTTTAACCCTTAGGGCTTTTCTGCATCCCAGAGGGTTCAATTCTACCTACTTAAGAGCCAATGGTTGTTTGCTGTCAGCTGGGAAGGACTATAGGTTCCCCATCACCACTCCCTTCCAGTCTCTTTTCAGTAGACTTGAAGAGATATTCAATGGGTGAAATGATGGCACTTGAGGGAAGAGGCTCTAACACAGCTCTACCTATAGCAGGGGGTCTCTAAAATCCATCTAGATGGCTAATAAGGAGCCATTTAACCAAAGAATTGGTCTGCAGATAAATCTTCCATTTTCCTACGGTTTGAAAAGGCTGGTCTTGCTGTTTCTGTTGACATACAATTTTATATTGCAGTGCCTAATTTATCCCCAGAATGAGAGCCCATGGAAATGGCCTCTGATTGCAGAGCACTTTTAAAAATACATTTAAAAATACCAAACTGAGCACATCTTTAAGATTACAGGGAGCTTCATCTTGAGTAGTAAATTGTTGTGAGTTGGGGGAGAGCGGAACAGATGGGGGACTGTGCTTTATTTAAAGAATGACCCTCTGCATACCCAGCCTTGTGTAGGAGGGAAAGGGCTTTTTGAAAAGCCAAATACCAAGATTGTGACTCTTGCTGGGTTCTTGTGTGCAATTTTCAGGCAGGTCTGGCTAGCACTTTGATTCAGGGGAAGGGAGAGGAGAGTGGCCCTCCAGGAAGAACATGAGGTTCTCAATAGGCTGTGTTGTTAAAATGTGGAGTATGTCTGCTCCTGAAGCAGCATCGCTGGTATCTGTCATCATCCGTTCTTGCAGGCTGAGAGCTGAGTGCATCGTATTGCTGGCGGGGGGGAGATGTGCTCCGACATTAAAAGCATTCTTGGAGTTAAAATCAGAGGAAAATGCAAAATACCCGCATGCACTAAGTGTTGGTGGAAAAGAAAACAGCTGGGAGGCATAATGGCAGTTCTGTGCCTGAAGCTGGAAGAGGTCTAACGAAAATGGTCTAATAAACAGAGACAGCTTCAAGGGGAGGACTTGAGTTAGGGCCCAGCTACTTGGTGAGGGTATCACATGCAGAAATCTCCAACACTACATCCCAGAAGCCTTCTCCAAAGTCTTGGGAAGGGTGGGATCCTCACAGAGAGTCCTGTGTTCTGGCAGCAGCAGAGGACAGTGGTGTTACCTGGGCTTCTGTCAGTTACACAGAGTGTGCAAGCAAGGTTCAGGAAGCAAAGAGCTTCCCTGGACTCACCTGTCCTTCAGCGCTGTTTGACTCATCCCCCTGAAAATGTTCCCTCTGTGCTGGAGCTGTGTTCCAGAGCTCACCTGATGCATATGAGCTTGACCCACAGGCGGGTGTGTGCGTGACAGCAGAAGGTCATAAGGTTTTCCTTGACCTCTGTCCTTGCTGTGGTTATTGAATCCAATTCATCAGGCACCTCCTGCACAGCCTATTCCATTAATGCTTTATTGGTGGCAATCTAAAAGGAATTGCAAAGCCTTACTTGAGCTGTACACTACAACATGGCACCCTTGGGCAGGATTGGATCGACTTCCTTGACTGAACAGGGAGTTATCAGGCACAAGGACAGCAGTGTAAAGCCTTCCCTGGCAGTACCACGAGGAGGAAAGGGTGGCCTGACACTCTCAGTGAAGGCCATTGCTAAAGGAAGGGAGCTCAGTTCTGTACAGTTTATCTGCCTTATGGATCAAGGGCAGCATTAAGAGAGGATGGAGAACCAGTACAGGTGGGGTGTGAACCAAACTGACTCCCTCTCGTGAAGTCAGCTTTGTCCATCAAAGTGACAGGCAGAGTTCTCTCATTGCTGCTAATAAGATAAAAGTGATGCTTTTATAGACAGTGGAAAACAACTGCCCTGAGAGGGACTTTCCTGCAAAGCCAAGAGCCAGACACCCAGCTAAGGACCTTCTGCTCCTTGGGGCGCACCAGAGCTCGAGCAAGGCGCTTGTCTCTGTGTGCGAAGAGCCCAGATGGCAAAGTCAATAGTCGGGAACAGCCATAATTGCCTTTCTCTTCCTTTCAGATTTTACGCCCGTGACTCTGGCCTGCTGAAGTTCGAGATCCAGGCGGGCCTCCTGGGGCGCCCCATCAATCACACAGTGCGGCGCCTGGTGGCCTTCACCTTCCACCCCTTCGAGCCCTTCGCCATCTCGGTGCAGCGCACCAACGCCGAGTACGTGGTCAACTTCCACATGAGGCACAGCTGCACCTAGAGGGACTCGGGGCTGCTCTCCTTGGCGCTGGGCCTCTGCCACAGGTGCACCAAAGCCAGACACTCACACCTTCTGGGAAACCAAACCATCGCTCCTGGAAAGAAGCCTCACCTTGGAGCTCCTTCCTGTGGCATTGCAGGGCCCTCAGCCTCAGCTGTGGAAAGCTGATCCACCCCAGTCATGGGGGTGGGTGGATGCTTCTGACTTTGTACTGTGGAGATCCTCCTGCTGTCCTTCCCTGTTCCTGTTGATGAACAAAGCGTAGCTGAGGTTCCTTTCCTGGTTTCCCAGAGGCATGGCTCTTTCCTATCCTGCTGTGGGTCTTAGGATAGCAGAGATGGAGCTCTGCATCACACTTGTGGAGCGCTCCCTTCTGCACTGGTGGACAAATGACCTGTCACAGAGGGAAGGGATGGGAGCCATGGGGAGGGCTTGGATACAGCTACCCCTGTTTGTATCTTCAGAATTGCTAGGGAAATGAGATCCTGCTCTCATCCATACAATCTCCGCATGTCATTTTAACATGCAAGAGGTCAGGAAAAAAACGGTGGGAGAAATCACTACAGTTGAGAGACATGAGGTGTGTTCCTGACCCTTATGCAAGTCACTTAATCTTTGTGCCTTAGTAAAAGCTCCTAAGTGAGAGGTGGTGTCATAGCAGCAAGCCAGGGCAGCTGGTTGTGTCTGTAATGCACGAGGTGGGTGCAGGAGGAAGATGGGTGCCTGGGAAGGGTGCGGGGAGCAACAGCAGCTCCTTGGTCATATCAGAAGGACTTTTCTGCAGCATGGGGGTTAATCCTCGCAGCCATCTGCACGTTGTGCTGCCAGCTGCTGGCACCCTCCTGTGTGTTGGAGTACCAGCATAGAAAATGAGTAGGATTTGCCCAGGAAGAAGGGTAGAGACCTGAATTCAGGTTCGCTGCTGTGGGTGGGCAGTCTGGAGATGAACTTGTTGCTTACCTCTGTCTGTTTGATACACTGTTCTCTGTGAGAACCCAGATGCTGTTTCCAGGCTTCAGAACACAGCTGGCCAGCGTGGCAGTGTTGGCTGGACCATGGCAGTGTTTGTGCTGCTGATAAATTAAGCTCCTGGGTGTAATTACCTGCCACTGTGGGCTGGTGCGGATGCTGGCCTGCCCTTCTTGCTTAAAAATGGAGTTTTTGGTTGTGGGCCAGCATTTGGGGGTTTTTACATGAGGGCTGGTTTATGACTGCTGCCAGGCAGCACAGCCATCCCAGCATCACAATGTGCTCCTTCAGAGGCTGCAGCCTGTTCTTGTCCCATTCCTTTAGGAGGTACAGTGGGGGCAATAGAAAATTGGTGCTAATACACAGGAGACCCTCTCCATGAAAGGACCCTGTGGGTGTCTTAATTGGACCAAAATGAGCTGTGGGTGATGTGTTGTGGCCTCATGCCTGTAAAGAGGAGTGCTGGAGTCATGCATTCATTTTGCTGGTGATGCACTGGAGAAGAGCTGTGTGGGTGGGGGTGCCTGCTCATGGTATGAGTGGTGGACCTCAGAATTAAGGGTGTCCTGAGGTCCTTGAATCATCCTTCGCTCTCTGCCTCACTGTACTTCTCTCCTGGTCTTGCTAAACATTATTTCTAGAAAGACAATGCATTTCACTGCTCTTTTCCTGGTGTTTGCACTGTTGGTGTCTCAGGTCTGTCAGGAGTGCCAGCGGGTCAGGAGACTGCTAACAGAGGAGGTGTCAGTGCTTTAGCTGCAGGTTCCTCTCATCTAATAACACTATTTGTCAAGGTTTTAGGGTTTTATCCTGTGATCTGTTCCTCAAACATTCAATTAAAGCTCCAAGTGGAGAATCGTTTGCACACTGTAGATCATGGATTTACCTCCCTCTGCACCACTCTCACAGCTGTTCGCACTTCAGTATGAGACTTTTTTTTCTCCCCAAGCTTCCAGCTGCTCCATCTGAGACTTTGTTTACTCCTTGGTGTCACAGCCTCAGGAAGTCAGTGCTTACTAAATTAGCTGTCAGATCTCCATTGAGACTCCTTTTTTCAGTGGCAAAAATATAAACTTCAGCATTTCTGTAATAGGGGCTTTTGCTAAATTGAGGCTTCCCTGTGTGAAGCAGAGTGTGGCATGGATTGTTGGCCATGGGGCTGAGAGAGATCTGTTCTTAGCTCTACTATTAAATTGTGAGGCTGGGGGCAAATCTTTTCCTACTCCAGCTGGTGTTTTCTTCTCCATAAATGAGGCCAAAAACATATTTTCATCTTTTGTAAAACACTTTGAGATTCATGGATAAAAAGTGCTGGGTAAGTGCTAAGTATTTTCTTATTATGTTTGCAGACAAACTGATCATACTGGGTACTAATTGCCTTGGAGTAGCACAGCAGATCCTCTGGTCTTGGCTGCTGCATTTTATATCAACAACAGAGTTAATTTTGTTACAGAAATTTATGGAAAGAAAAGTCTCTCATGCTTGAAATTTTGATTCTTTTATTTAAGAAACAAAAAGTGTGTGTGGTGGGGAGGGAAGGAGAAAAGGGGAGATATTTTCTACCTGATATTTTTCCTAGGTTAGGGTAAAGATTTGTTAGCAACACAAGACAAAACCAGAATAAACAGAATTTGCTTTAAAAGTCTGATTTATTGTCTTTATCTTCCAAAAATCTGAATGGTATAGATGGGAATTCCTTTGCTAAGAAGAGATGGCAGGGCTGTGCAGACATATCCCATGGGAGCTTGCTGCCTCTTCCTGGCACTTGGAGTACAAGTGTCCTTAAGAATATTCCCACCTGAGGCATTTCTGTAGTTCCTGCAGATTTCTCTAATTCTTGTCTACATGAACTAATGACGGGAGAGGATTTCTTGGTTACATTTTTCCCTTTGTATATTATTACTAGCCCAGCTTGTACTCAGGGACTGTTCCTTTATTCCATTTACAGCATTTATCTAACCTTTTGGTCACTTTCTGCATGATCGAGGGATGAAAGCTTGTTGTGGTTTAACCCCAGCTGGCAGCTCAGCCCCACAGAGCCACTTGCTCAGTCCCTCACCTGTGGGACTGGGGAGGGAATCGGGAGAGTAAAAGTGAGAAGACTTGTGGGTTCAGATAAACACTGATTATTGGGCAAAAGCCACATATAAGCAAAGGAAACCGAGGAATTAATTCCCACTTCACATGGTCTGGCAGGTATTTAGCCACCTCCAGGGAAGCAGGGCTCCATCCCCTTTTGCCCCAGCCAGAGCTGGCACAAAGCTGAGCACACCTTGCTTGGCAGAGCAGCCTGTCCACTGCTTTTAGGTTGGGCTGAGGCACTCAGATTTTCCATGTGCTGCTCCCTGCCTCTTGCAGAACAGTCTGGCTGAGAACTCTGCAGCATCCCTGTTTGTGTTAGTTCCTCTAACCATCTGCATCTTGAGCAGTGATTTTCCTTTGAACCTTTGCCCCATTTCTCAGCTGCTTTCCCGTGCAGACCTTGAGCACACCAGAAAGCTCTTGAGCCCGTGGCTTTTCAGACAGGCACTAAGTGAGGAGGAGATGCTTGAGCTGGAAACTGTGTTTGGCAGCAAAATCCCATCTTTTGTTGCTTCTCGTGCTGCCTTTGCTTTAAGAAAATAAAGTAGTGAAAGCAGGACAGCTGCATTATTATATGAAAGGCATTAGGCAGCAAGGCACAGAAATCCCATTAGAGTCAAACATATGGATATGTTTAGGATGTGTCCCTACTAAAGACTCCTATCAAATAACCTTCCAGTGCTCATGGCCGGCCCTGATTTAGCTGTCTGTGTGTACTGCCAGGACCTTCCTGTTGCGCAGGTGCTGCATCTGTTAAGCTCTTCCCTTGGTCATTTGGACCCAGCTAGAAGAATCAGGTTTCTGATGCTTTAAGAAATCCCTTTGTTTTTCTTCTTTAGGATCTGTCTTGCTGCTTTTCTGCCAGCTTTTCCTGCAAGGATCTCTCAGGGCTGTGGGCAGAGAGATGGTAAAGGGATAGCAATGAGACATGTGGCCCTCTCACAGCTGTTGTCCTTCTGGGAGCCTTATATAGGTGCATGCTGCAGAGCAAATGGATGTCCTGTGGACAATGGGACAGGATTTTGTGGGTTTACTTCATCCTTGCTATGCAAGTTCCAGAGTCTGTGTCTTTGATGTGCCTGAATCTTGTGCTTCCTTGTCTTGTTAAATGGTAGTAAAAGCTTTTCTGGTCAAATACTCATGAGGAGGAGGGAATGGTGAAATGGCTTTTTATTTTTCATTGTTTTCCTTGCTCAGGGGCTGTGGGCTGAGCTGTGCAGTGCAGTTCCAGCCTGGTGCTGGCTCAGGCAGCCCCAGCCCCTGCTAGAGCTGTTTGCTGACCGTGGTTTGATTTGACTTTGTTTCTCTTGGGGAAAAGCTGTACTTACTCTGTAAGGAAAAAAAATTCTCAGAAAAATACTGATGTGGGAAAAACACTGAATGGCACCTTTTTTTTGTTTAATGATGTTTTGACATAAAAATACTACATTTTTAAGCTAGCAATGTGCAAACTGGTAATTCTTGGCTAACTGTTGTGACCTTGCACGTGAGGAGAACTGGAAAGAGAGACATTGTCCTTGGTTCTGGCTACTCTGGGCTGTGCTGCAGCATCTGGGTAACATGTGGGCCCTCACTTGATTAATGAGGACAGTTATAGAGGAATGTGATGGGATAGCTCATGGATGCCCAGGGCCCTTGGATAACACTACCAAGTCCCCAGCATTTGCTGCATTCTGCTCTGTCCAGGGACAAACTGGAGCCTTTGGATGAGTTTATTTTCTGTGGATGACAAAACAAGTTTGAGTTCAGTCTTTTTAAAGCCAGGAACATGTTATTTCTCTTTTCCACGGCTGTCTTCTTCCCTTCTACCCAGCAGCTTTGCAAAATGCCAAACTCAGTCCAGAGCAGCCCTGGCTTTGCTCAGAGGGCTCCAGCCTCCCTAAGCCCCTGGTTTTGGCAGTGAATTGTTCCCTCTGAAAGCTACTCTTGCACAAGTTCATCCTTCCCTCTGCCAGCATCCTTCCTCTATCGAGGTGTGTTGTAACAGCATCAGGTATGGAGGCAGAAGGGCATGAGAGAGAGTTGGGTGGCTGAGCACACTGTCACTGTCCCAGTGCCTGGCTGGGCAGCAGCTTCTGGTCACCGTGGATGGGGCAGGTGAGGGTGCACTGGCAGGGCTGACACAGCCCTGGGCTGGAGCCCTGGGGCAGCTGGAGCTGGGATGTGTGGAACGCGTTGCTTAGGGGGCTTGGAGGGGTGAGAACCAGGCAGGTGGCAGGGAAGCCCTGCCAGGGCCATCTGGCTGCTGCTGGATGTGATTTTAGGGTGTTGTTAAGAGCGGTGGGCAGCGCTGCATCCCTGCGAGTGCCCGCTCGCTGCCGCTGAGCCGGTCATTTGATAGCTCCCCGGTGCTCCTCGGGGGCCTAAAATGGAGCAGGGCCGGATTAGATGTACCCAGTGCCCTTGGTGAGCTCCGCAGAGATAGATCCTCGCCCTCCCGCCTCCGACCTGCTGGCGCCCGGTGCCGTCACCACAGCAACGGGGAGAAGCAGCCCATCCATCCCATGGAAACGGCCTTGCTGTGCCCGCAGCCGCCTGGGGACAGCCAGCCAGCACGGAAAGGTGAGGGGCTCCGCACCTCTGTGGCCAGAGCTGTGGGGCTGAACACACATCCTGTGGGTTACTGCCATGCTGGCGCTGTCCCTGTGCGGGGGACTCCATCCCAAAACACTGGCACTGCCCCCAGTGCAGAGCCAGCACGTGCTCTGTCGTCTCTGAGCGTGATGGATAATTTTCATTGCTGCTGCCCTATTTTTTTGGGGTTGGTCCTGAAGTCAGGGTAAGTCAGATTATCTGTGCTGATACCTGCAGCAGTGTAGGTAGGTTGCTGGTTCACCCCTGACTGGTTAGTACTTAATGCTTGTAAAATCCCTCTTTGTAAGGAAAAAGGAGCAACTGGCAGCTAAACAGGGTCTCCTGTAACATAGGACAGACAAATGTCATCTCGACAGCATGATTGTGCAGTGCAGCCTGTCTGGCTTTGGGCAGCAAAGTCTGAGTTAATCTCTCCTCATCCTGCCTCCTACCCCTTAAATCCCCCTTCGGCTGCTTCCCCAGAGAGGGCTCAGGTTTGAAGGTGATGTTGCTGCTGATCCGCTGGCTCTGATAAGGGCTGGGGGGAGCAGCTCTGCTGTGCAGCTGCTTGTGGCCAAGCAGGGCCTGTTCCAGTTTTACGCTGGCCCTTTGGTGACCGTGTCTCTTGGCTGCAGGATCACTTGGAAGGGGATCTCCCCAGCCAGCAGCACTTCTTTGGATGGATTTTGGTAAACAGGGCTGGTTTTACAGCCATGTCCAGGGACAGATTGTCCCAGAGCATCTCCCAGTGCTGGAGAAAGCTGCTTTCCAGACATCAGCCTTTCTAAGAAGTCCACAGGGCTGGCCAGTCTACAGTAATTTGCATTTCTTGGTCAGTTTGACCCTGGCAGGTCAGGAAAGTGCTATTTCTGTGGATTTGGCCGGAGCAAAATGAAAGGCAGTACCCAGATCTTGCCAGGGGGCTGTGTGAGAGCCTGGCTGGCAATTAGGAGAGCAAGGTCTGTGCCTGCAGGCTGGTGCATGCAGAGATGAGTCCTGTTTCACCTCACCTTGGGACCTGCAGGAGGGGCAGAGGATGGAAGAGTGGTGGGTGAAATATGTCATTTTCCTGCTTGGGGCCTCAAGTTTTATTTGTTACCTGGAGTCCTGTGTGGGTGGGAAGCCTGGCCTGCTGCTGTGCAGAGGAGCCCCTTGTGCACAATCCTTTTTCCCTTTTGCTTACTTTTTAAAAGAAAAACAAGCGGTGAGGTTGCTGCTGGAAGCAGCTTTCCCAGGCAATGGCTGTTAGGGCTCCAGAGCTGCTGAGGTGTTTGGGTCCAGGTGCACAGCCTCCACCGTCTGAATCAGTAGATGTGGGCATAGCAGGGTTATGGACTCTGGAGAAATTAGAGGACCCTGCCAAGTGGCACTAGTGCAGGGGAAGCTTGGAGAACTCAGCAGAGGAGGTGTGAGTGGTTTCAAAAAAAAAAAACAAATAACATCGAGGCTTGGCTCCCCTCTACATCTCCCCAAGAGGACCCTGCAGCCCTGCTTCACCATCAGTGTGGGGACTTGGATGCTCTCAGGCTGTTCATTAGTAAAACCTCTGAGCAGTTCCTACTGCCATCGAGTACCCATTAATGCCTCTTCAGGGAGAGGAGAGCATTGGGAAAACAGAAAACCAATCTGAGGGTCTTTTATCTCTTTTTGGTCTGAGAAGTCATGGGCTGAGGTTGGAGGGGAAGAGGGGCCAGGTGCGGGTGCTAGGCATGAAAGCAGCACTGTGATTATCTGCAGAAGTCTTGAGTGCAAAAACATAGCCTGATTTGAACTGTTACTTCTTCAAAACTCCCGGGGGTGCTTTAGGGTTATAAACACCTACTCAGTGACCTTCTTTGTGCACATCTCGAGCCAGGTATTCCCACAGCAGAGGGAAAGCCAACAAAACCTGCACAGATGTCTTTAGCAGCTGCAGCCGGCTGCCGTAAGCCACCCCTGCTGCTCCAGTTTATTAGCACTGCAGGGTCTGTCCCCCTCTCCTTGCCTGCTTGTGTACAGTCAGCTGTTAAAGGACACTGACATCACTTTATGGTTTAATTGAATCTCACAAAGGGACCCAAATTGGCGGCCTGACTCTTGTCACTGAGATGCTCATGGAAGAAATAGCAAATCACCAATTCAGCAGATAAAGCTGCAGCTCTGGGCAGGAGGTCCTTGTTGCTGGGGATAGGGAAGTCATTCCTCTTTGCAGAACGATACACGATTAGGGAGATGGCTGAGGGCTATTTTTCCAGGCCACCAGGTGCCATCCCAGGTCCAAAGGAAGGGTAACTGAGTTAGACTAACTCCCCAAGGTAATGTGGCACTCAGTGAGGGGTAAACAGACCTGAGGCAGCATTTTATCTGTAAGTCAGGAGACTGTTCTGTTTCCGCAGGGATTTACAGGGATACAATGTAGGGAGGTCTATGTGACCGTTTGTTTAGAACGGAAGGCAAAATCTCAGGAAAGGCCAGGGTTGAACCAGGATGAAGCTTTGCAGTCAGCAGCAATTTCTGAGATTGTTTCTCAGAAAAAGTAATCTCTGAGTGTAGGGAATCAAAAGTTAGGAGGGAATGGAGAGCAAAATGTCCAAAAGCAACGGGGAAGCCCAGAGGGAGAGGATATGACCCTAATGAGAGTGCTAATGCTGTGGCCATGCTACTGACAAATGAAGTAATTGCTGCTGAGGAGGAATGTGAGCCAGTAGAAAACAGCTTTCCACCCAGATGCCAAGAAAAGCAATTAGAACTTGTAAACACCAGTGGCTGACTAAAACCAGGCTCTTAATTAATAGTTTCATTTGAAGGGTAAGGAAATCGTTAAGCACTATTGGTGTCTATTAATTCCCTGCAACACAAACCACAACAGTTTTAAGCCTTCTTCCACTGTACAGTGTGTGCAGGAAGGAGCACCCCAGCCTTTGCTCTGTGCAGCTGTGCTCCCTCACCCCACTGACTGCCCCAGAGCCCTGGGATGTGCTGCAGGACAAACAGCTCAGACTGTGCACTAAGTTAGGACATGGTTTTGGGAGTGCTCCATCAGGGCAGGAGAGAATGTGGACAGAAAATGTGATTTCAGTAAAAAGCTGTACAACTGAAGTATTGGGCTGGGGAGTTCAGAGTACAGGGAGCTGGGGGTCTGGAAGATTTGCATCCTGCTGTGCAGATCCCAGCCACTGAGCCACGGAGAACAGCCTCAGCCTCTTCTGTCCAGCACAGAGGGTGTTACAGGACTGTCAGTCAAAGCAAGAAGTGGGGGTAGCTACCAGAAATAGGCAGGGCAGGGAGGGACATTACGCTTCCCACTTGTATAAGCAGTGGTCATGCACTGGCAGATCTCCTAAAACCCTCATAAACACCCAGAAACAAAGAGTGTTAAGGAGTGGCCTTTACAGAGGACACAGCCTTGATTTTAAGTGTAGGTAAGATGAAGATTTATTCTTCACACACATACTCTTTCCTGAATTCCAGGAGGACCACAGATCTCTTCACAACTTTACTTTTCAATTTGTTCTACCATCTTCATGTGACTAGGGCACTTCTGCATTGATGCAATGAACAGGCTGCAGTAGGGAACAGCAGTGTTTGTTTTTCTGTGTTGGACAAACCTGCCAGCACAGCCTGGTACCCGTCCTCTGTCAGGCTGGTTGCTGTGCTGGGCACAGACACCAGCCCAACCTCGCTGTAAGCACATCACACACCCCTTTCCCAGCCAGCTGACTGCATACTCAGAGAGTTCATCTTGGCAGTTCATGCCTGACCTGCCATCTTCTTCTTAAAAAGCAGAATATTAAGTCCCTAGTGCAGCTGTATTTCTGGAATG